AAAGAAGGTCGGCGCAAGTAAAGGAAAGGAACTGTGGAACGTGCGGCAAGGTAGGGCATAATGCGAGAACGTGTCAAATAGTTGTTTCGATGTCTGGAGAAGAGGAAAGCGATTAGTTTTACTTGATTGCGTGATTTGTTGTGTTCTCATGACGATTCCTGTCTCAAGGGTTAAGATTTTTGTAACACTCGCTTGTTTGTAACACTCGCTTATCATGTACGTTATTTAATTAAAAGTAAATATAACTTTATAATAATTATTAAATCTTTAAATTTAAGGGGAAAACATGTCTTAACTGACTTAATATTACTAGCATGCTATATTTTACTCAAGTCATTTTATATACATTACGATAATATAACAGAATTCAATAGACTATGTTCTTTTACAGGAGGACCAGTCATCTAGGCGCGCAATAAACTGGAGATGAATCTTGCACACGGTGCGTCAGATGAGTGGGTCGACGAGCCTTTCCCCTCTGACTCATATTTTTAAGTTCATATCAAACAAGATAGAGATACTCAATCTGTATTGAACGGCATAGAAGTGCCAAACTTCCACGTGTGAATGGAGTTATTATTAGCTGCCCATGCGTAATCCCAGGTCTCCGCACGGCACAATCTGATGCCGAAGTTACATATTCTGCTCCTCAATCGGAGTGGTTACTCACTCACCCTATACGGATTCGCACTATTTCGGCGGCTTCATCGATCTGCGTACTGAGTATAAATTCTAAGCCAGGGGCAGGTCTCAATTACAAATAAAAAATCGTAACCGCATTACTATCCAATTTCAAACCATTCTTCATCAAAAACACCAACATGTCGCCTGTCGTAATCCATCTCCGGTCTGAGACCAAGCCGCTAGAGCGTCGCTCTCCACGTAGGAACCCTGCACAACTCTGACAATGGCGTCAACTAACGATTAAGTGTCACCTTCGACTGCTAAGGCTTTGCTCGACGCTGGCTACGTAGTTCGAGTGGAGGAATCTCCGGACCGTATCTACAAGAGCGATGAGTTCAGAGCTGTGGGGGCTGAGATTGTGCCTACTGGCTCTTGGGTCAATGCACCCAAGGGCGACATTATCCTGGGATTGAAGGAGATTGAAGCAGATGGAAGTATGTCTACCTATACGTGTCATTAGCCTGACTTGCTTACCGTATCCTCAGCACCGTTGCCTCACACCTACGTTCATTTTGCTCACGTATACAAAAACCAAACTGGCTGGGCTACTGAGCTGTCTCGCTTCTCAAACGCAGGTGGCTTGCTGTATGACTTGGAGTTCCTCACGGACCAAGATGGAAGACGAGTAGCTGCATTCGGACATTGGGCTGGATATGCCGGGACTGCACTGGCACTCCTATCTTGGGCTCATCAGCTGCTCAACCCTGGTGTACCCCAAGGCCCGGCTCCGGTTGTCGAATCTGCCTCTGCTTTGACTGACCTTGTCAAGGCCAAGGTCGACGCTGCAATTTCCGCCAACGACGGCGCGCATCCTCGACTGATCGTGATCGGTGCCCTGGGACGCGTCGGCAAGGGCGCCGTTGCAGCAGCTGAGGCCATCGGCGTTAGTGACATTCTGAAATGGGATGTCGCCGAGACAAGCAAGGGCGGCCCGTTTGCCGAGATCGCTGCGTCTGACATCTTTGTGAACTGCGTATACCTGGGCTCCAACAAGATCCCGCCGTTCACAACTCTCGAAGCTCTCTCAACACCCGACAGACGACTCCGGGTCATCTGCGACGTCAGTTGTGAAAACAGCGAGAACAATCCCGTTCCAGTCTACTCCAGCTACAGTTCGTTCGAGAACCCGACTGTTCCTACCTCCGGGCACATCGATGGACCTGAGCTGCGCATCATCGCCATCGATATCCTTCCTTCTATGGTTGCACGTGAGTCAAGTGATGAGTATGCCTCGCAACTTCTGCCAAGTTTGTTGACTCTGGACCGCCGGGATACTGAAGAGGTTTGGCGGCGAGCGGAACGAATCTTTCACCAGAAGGTTGCAGAACTGCCCTAATTCTTTGTATACTCTTTCTCAGTTTACATCCAGATTCGGGACTACTGGTACTCAGTGGGGTTTTCTAGAGACAATACCGTATAATCCATAACTAGCATCACCTTCACCTAACTAACTGTAACTAAAAGTACATTACATATCCTTGTAGGCACTGTCATCACTCAAGCCCGTTTCTTGCCCTTGAGAAACACATGCAAGAGGATATATGATACAGCACCAGTGAAGCACAGCCCGCTGATGACTCCAAATCCCTTGAGGTACTTTGGCTTCTCTGAAGCTGGGAACAAGTAGGCGCCATAGATCTGCGCCAGGTTACCCATTGCATTGACAAATGCCAGAGAAATAGCTCTTGTCTCAGTAGGCATGGAGCCAAAGGTAATTGAGGCGTAAGACAGCGACAAACCATTTGAGGCCCAGAGTGCTGCAGCCATAATGACAAGGAGAGCGTAGCGTGCTTTGAAGTTGTAGACGACGCAGATGATGATGGCGCACAACATGGCGATGCTCATCCAGGCGCACAGTATAACGCCTCGCCATTTGCTGTTCTTATCGGCGAAGTAGCCTGTGAGGGCGGTGACTACAAATGCGACGCCAAAGATGGGTATGGTCATATACTGGGCTGCCGTGGATTCATAGCCGAGACCTTTGACGAGAGTGGGGTAGAAGTAGGAGAGAGTTGAAGAGCCAACAATTGCCTGAGGAAGTCCACAGTCAGTCAAATACTCAGAAACAAGGCGGTCTGTGACTTACCATGTAACCAACAACAAAGAGCCAAGTGCGCCAGTTAGTCATGCTGAGTTTGAAGGCCTGCCAATGGCCCAGTTTCGATTCGTCTTCAGAGTGAACCTGTGGTCTGTCGTGCTGCAGTCTTCGAATAGCAAGATCAATCTCTGCCTGGCTGAACTTGAGCCTCGAAGTGTTTGCTGGGAAGTCAGGAAGAACAAAGTACGCAATAACAGCGACGCCCATAGTGGCAGCACCTTCAACAACAAACAACCATCTCCAACCAGCCTTGCCGTGTGCACCATCAAGACCGCTAGTGATAGAACCAGCCAAGAGACCACCAAATGCACCGGAGAGAATAGCAGCAGAGATATACACGGCGAATCTCTTGCTCTGCTCTTCACTCTTATACCAGGAGGAGAGAAGCAGAAGCACGCCAGGAGCAAATCCAGACTCAAGGACACCCATGAGGATTCTGAACCCGATCATATGTTCGTAGGTGCGCGTGAAAGCCATTGCGACTGTGACGCCGCCCCAGACAAACATGATGCCGGGGAGATATCGACTCGGACGCGTTCGTGTGAGGATCATGTTGGAGGGAACTTCGAATACGACGTAGCCAACGAAGAAGACGACAAGGACAATCGAATATCTGTTGGAGTCGAGGTCAAGGTCCTTGTCCATTCCGGCGATCTTGGCATTTCCAATACTGTTGAAAGGTTAACTAGGCTCTAGTGTATGCGAAAGGGGGTATACTGACTTGGTTCTGTCCATGTATGACATGAGGTACATGAACCACATCATGGGGAGAATGAAGAGGTCGATCTTGCGAACGAGCTTCTTCTCTTCTTCAGTATCGGGTACATATTCGTCATTCGCCATAGAGTCTTCCTTTGAATCGATGATATTGTCCTCATGCTCAAAGAACTGTTTGTTCTCGACCTTATCCATGATGCCGAGCAAGGGATGAATATTTGACGCGTCTGAAGATGACTGATGATGAACAGTTGAGGATTGACTGATGGTGGTGGTGGAAGCAATTGAAATGGAAGATACGAGTGATACTTAAATAGAATACATGTCACACCTCTCACTGTACAGTTAACCTTCGTATCTTGGAGATTGGCATGTTTTCAAACGAGAGAGGTTTTCTTCTAGCTCCAAGTTCAGGAATCAGCTGTTCTAGAATCGTGGAGACCCCAGATTTTGGCCAAGACTAATTTAGCTTCTGCCCCTACGCGAGCTGAACGCAAGGGACGACGCTATTGGGGTAACTAAACCGCGCTTGGGGGTTACCGAGACCGCGAGACGCAGTAGAATGACCGGGATGTCACGCCGTAGTGACGATGTTGAGCTCCTTGGCTTATTGTGGTGCGATGTGCTTGCAGAATACTTCTGTGGGGAGGCGTCTTGAATCCAATATTTAACATTTCTTTACTTGACTTTTTGAATCCCCATTTCCCTCTTTCAGTTCAGTTCACTCAACTTTCCCTCGAATTTCTTCTTAAAATCGAATCATAACACAATGACGAGCGGCCCCCAAAACACAAACGGTACCGCTAACGGTACAAACGGCGCCACCAATGGACACGGGCCTCTGAGCACAATGCCTGGCCCCAACCATGACTACAAGGTGACCCTACAAGACAAGGTCATTGCCAGTATGTTATTCCAGTCAACACCCTGCGCAAAGATGATCAATGCTAATAAAAAAAGTCACCGGTGCCAATCAGGGCATTGGTCTTGGTATCGCCGAGGTCTGCCTTGTGAATGACGCTGCTTTTGTCTACAGCCTCGACGTCACTGAACCTTCAGAACCCTTTGCAGCTCTGCTCAAACGCTTCCCGGGAAGACTGGGTTTCCAGAAGTGTGATGTGACGAACGAAGAGAGCGTGACTTCCGCGATAGATGCCATCATCGCTGACAAGGGCCGCTTCGATGGAATGGTCGCCAACGCTGGTGCCACCAAGCATCAACCTGCCTTGGACTTTACCGCTGAGCAGGTTGAGAAGCTGTTCCGATTGAATGTATTTGGGGCGTGGAATTGTGCAACGGCTGCTGCGCGCGCGTTCATCAAGCTTGGCTGCAAGGGCAGCATTGTGTTTACAGCCAGTATGACATCTTACCGTCCAAACAGAGTAAGTATCCCCAAACTTCCTAGTGATACCTCCCCACTGACTTTAGACAGGCTGCCCCATCAGCTCCTTACGGCGCAACCAAGGGCGCAGTGCGAAACATGACACACACTCTTGCGATGGAATGGTCGCAGTACGGCATCCGAGTGAACAGCATTTCACCTGGCTTCGTCAAAACTGCTTTGACGTATTATGTTGAGACAGCGCCTGATTGGGATACCAAGATGAAGTACTACGGTGGCATGCCTCGTCTGGCACTACCGCAGGAGCTTGGAGGTGCATATGTGTACCTGCTGAGTGAGACAGCGACTTACACAACGGGAATTGATATTCCGATCGCAGGCATTGTTGGCGCTTGGTAGTTGAAAGATCTTGCTATAGAAATCTGCCCTTGTTCAATAGATTTGGTTGCATCTGGAAAGTTCATAAGTCGTATATGGTTGCTTACTCATGGGCCTGGCAATAGAGTGCTTGCCCTATCACTACTCACTTGGATAGCGTTGAAATGGATAGTAAAAGGTAAATCGTAGCTTGTAAAGCTATATAATTGTATTGCACCATGCTGTTTTAGAAATAAAGCGTTGCTTCTGTTTTGTGCCCCAGCAACTGTTTAGAAATATTGTCATGGCTAACGCAAATTCAAACCAAGGAAACGAAAGCGTGACAACATAAATAATCATGTCAAAGGATTCTAAGAAAATGCAGAATATTACTCAGTTTTCCTCAAACTTTAATGGCACTTGAGAAGTGCAGTAAACGAGTAGAAGTCATTAAATAAAAGTTGTTGTATTTGGTGTCTACTTCAATCTACCGTCCTATGCAGCAACTACTGGCGCTGCTATAAGTTGTTCTCTGTCGTAATCCTCAATGATCTTGACTTTGGCAGCAGATGAGGAATTCTAGAACAGAGTCAATAAAGCACGCCTTCATGAAACAGAGCAGCTATACTTACGGGATCAAATTGATAACCCAGCCACTCTTTCACCAGCCTCTTAGCAAGCTCAATGCCCACAACACGCTGTCCCAAACACAGGACCTGAGCATTATTACTCAAGACGGAACGCTCGACAGAGAAGCTATCATGAGCAGTCACAGCTCTGATACCACGGACTTTGTTAGCGGCGATGGCAACACCAAGGCCCGTGCCGCAAATCAACAAAGCTCTGTCGGCTTCACCCTTTGCAACTTTCTCAGCGGCGGCGATGGCAAAATGCGAGTAGGCAGTTTTATCTTCTTCTGATGAGGGACCAGCGTCGAAGACGGAGGAGACACGGGGATCTGTGAGGAGTTGTTGGGTGATGATGGACTTGTAGGGGAAGCCGGCGTCGTCCCCGCCGATGACTATGCGAAGTCCGGATGGCATTGTATGATGGGGTAAAGAAATTACTGGGAGGTAATGTAAATCTCGATGTTTGATAGTGATAGCCAAATGACTTTGTCTCTGCCTTTGTTGTGTACTTTATGCTATTCCAGTGCCTTTTCCTCGGACGCGCCCCTAAGCGAATCATAGTTTGCAATGCAAGTACCGCGCTTCGAGGTCAAGTTGCCAAAGTCGACAAGGTTCGGACGAGGAGTCCTAGTTCGGGTTGGGTTAGTTCCAGCGACTAAATTACCTCGAGGCGCGAATGTGCGGGGGATACTTGGGGATTGGTGCAAGGATTAATGGCAGGGCGCCATGGGCTATTGATTCACGCAGGCCCTGACTGGGTATACAATCTTGCTTATACTTTAAGTCGGTATAGAAACAGACACAGCATTCTGCTTGAAAGATACACATGGCAAAAATGACTTCCACTTGGGAACCGCAAAACAACAAGACCTGCCAGATCCTCAAGGCAGCTGAGGATGGAGGCTATGGAGTCGTTGCGCCGATAGCTTACAACATCGAACACATTCTTGCCTTCGTACGAGCCGCCGAGGCCAAGCGCAGTCCCCTTATCATCCAAGTATTCCCTTGGGCCATCACGTTCTCCTCCGGACTCCTCATTCATGCCGCAGCACACGCAGCGCGCAATGCTTCGGTTCCGATCGCGATCCATTTAGATCATGCACAGGATGAAGCAATTATTCGACATGCGGCTGATTCCCTCCCATTTGACAGCATCATGGTTGACATGAGCCACTACGAGATGGAGGAGAATCTGGCCAAGACTAAGGAGCTGGTGGAGTACTGCCATACGCGTGGAATTGCTACGGAAGCTGAACCGGGAAGAATTGAGGGGGGAGAAGACGGGATTGCGGATACAGCTGATTTGGAGGGGGCTCTGACCACTTCAGAGCAGGTTGAGGATTTCATTGCGACGGGTATCGATTTCCTTGCTCCTGCATTTGGCAACGTCCATGGAGAGTATGGCAAAAGAGGTCCTATTCTCGAGTTTGATCGGTAAGTGAACCCTGCAGGGCACGACATCAAGTCTGACCAGGCTTTAGGCTGGAGATGATACGGTCCAGAGTCAACGGACGCGTGAGAGTTGTCCTCCATGGGACCAACGACTTTCCCGAAAATATTATGAAGGCCTGTATCAAGGGCGGTGTTTCCAAGGTCAACGTGAACAAGCTTGTCTTGGATGATTACCTGATTCACATCAAGGAGCAAGCATCGAAACTCAACTTGACAACATTGATGGAAGAGGGCGTGGAGAAGGCCCAGAAACTAACAGAGTGGCAAATGGATGTCTGCGGTTCTTCAGGGAAGGCTTAGCTATACCGTAGTTGGGTGATTCTTATAAATTATGGGGCTACCTTTGCCGCCTCACTCTTGTGTTTTCAGAACGCTTCTTGACTTCCTTCTTGATCTGCCTTGGCCCATTCCGTCCTCAAATCATCTCTCCACATCTTCATCGGGACCCAATTTACTCTGGCCTCACACGCTTCCATCAAAGAAATGACTTTCTCACGCTTATCAGCATCCTGCAGACAAAGACCGGCACCGTAAAGACACTGAGCCGATACAATCTGACATGCTTCATCCTTCAATTCCATGGCTATTCCACATATGGTGTCTACAGACTGCGTGAGTGTCTTTTGCATTCTTAGATACCCATTAAACCCAGCGGGTATTGGACTGTGAAGTGCTATTAATATTTGTGCAAACGCAAGTGCCTGCAACGCAGCCCCAAATTCTGGTGGGTGTATCCAAATCCCTTTGAAGATATCGGCGGTTTCAGAGGGCGATGGAAGGGGCTGGTATTGCTCGCCAAGGTGAGTCTTGAGCTCTTCTATCTTGTTCAAGATGTCAACTCTGGCACGCCCCAAGTCCACTGGCGCTAGACGATTTGGTGTTGATACTGACACCGCAGCGTGGGAATGGGCATAGTAGTTCACAGCCTGTGAGAGGAGATATATAGCTCTCTCTGCCAAGTCATGCTGGCCAAGCTCGCTGAGGTCTTGAACTGGGACCCAGAAACTCAGACAAGGCCTCTTTTCTCGAAATGCAGCCCAGATGTCCTGACGCAGCCAAGCCCACCAAACAGCTTGGCGAAGACCGCCAGAACCGCCATGAACCTCTTGAGACCTCTGTATCCAGAAGACGCCCTTGAGATGTCTCTGCCAGTTTCCCCGCCCATCTGATTCGTCGAGCATTTCGTAAGAGGAGATAACAATGGCCGTGGCTAGAAGCTCTTCCGAGTTGGTGTAGCTTGTGTAGCCGAGTGCTTCTTGCACGTAGTGAAGTGTTTCGTAGTAATGCCGGATCGACTCGTTATCCGTTACGGTGCGGTCGCTGGAACTGGGTAATTTAGAGCGATGACGTGCGGCAAGGGCCAGAATGGCATGAAGCAGTCCAGGGTCTTTCAGAGCCAGTCTGATAACATATGTAGAGAACAGCCTCTGGGGATGAAAGAGGTCCAGCCATAAAGCACACTTCTCTGCAAAGTGACGAAGAAGAACAGCATCATGAGGCGATAAAGTTGCTGGGCTTACTCCAGCTTTCCAGCCGGTAGACTCGGCCTGTGCAACTTGAGACAAGCGGGCTTGAAGGCTTCCAATGTCTGGAGGTCTTTCTTCACCTTCTCTCAAGGCTGGAGTCGGCGCAAGTGAGAAGCCGCTATCAGCTTGTGCGGCATCATTGGCGAGAAGGTCAAGCCATCGTATCGAAGCAAAGTCGGCAGTCCAGAAGGCTGAATCTGGAGACCAGGTAGAGGTAGGTAGTGGCTGGGCGGCCACGCCGATGAGTGAGACATGGTTCGCGGACAGGGACGGCTGTATGTTGGGGCCAGGGTCAGTGGTGAGGCTGCTGTGCGAGTCTGGTAGATCAAGTTCTGGTGGAGATTCTTGATCACCGAGGAATAATTGGTCCCCTGATTGTGTTTCCGAGTCGTCAACGCTTGTCAAAGGCTGCGTTTCGGGGTAGACACAATCGCGAGATCTAATCGTGCAGGGTCCGCAGACTGGACGTCTCTCTGGTATAGACCATTAGCGGGTACTGGAGGCAACGTGAAAGGTCACTCTCACCATCGCATTTCTTGTGCCGCTTGCGACACGTCAAACTGTATCTATCAGACCTGAATGATCATATCACGCATCAGGAGACATGCACTGACCAGCCAGTTCTCGTACGCAACCCTCGACTGCGGGACTTGCGCGGTCTCTTCCTCAGCCGCGTTTGATCGTCTTCATCTCGGTCCATTGGAGATGGTGTTGCATTGAGTGACGCGAGACGAAGGTCGGCAGAACAGGACCAAAGCATACGATTTGCCGAAGGAAGCTCTATTGCCGCGGTTTAGCCAAAGCTGCAGCATAGCCCAAGAGCCCAAAGCCCACTAAACTACTTCAAACTCACCTAAACTCTGTCACCACTTGGAGCGTCCCTAAGCGAGGTTGCTCCAAACTGCGGGGAACCTTGCTAACCTAACTTAGTCTGCGAGCAAGTTGCGTCTCGCGGTCATGTTTCAATATGTTACCCTGCAGATGACATGACTGGGTATTGAAATACTCGGAAAAAAGTCGAAAGAGGTGAATTCGGCGACAGTTTGGCTCGTCTCGAGGTGTAGCTTTTGTATCAACAGCAATGGCTAATTGAATTATATATCGGCTCTATCAATTGAACTCTTATTTTACTGTGTCTCTCAATACACTAGGGTTATCTTTTTGACCGCCAACCTACCTCCTTGTTCCCATCATGTCGACAAAACACTATTTCTCAGAAGCGGCTGCAAATTCTTTAGTCCCTCGAGCATTAAGGTCTCTAGTGACAGCCAACACCCATCTCATCTTAAACGAGCCCGAACGCGTTGTAGCCAACCAATATCACGACCCCTCAAAAGTCGCCATCATCAGCGGTGGCGGTTCAGGCCATGAGCCCTCATGGAGCGGCTTCGTCGGCGAAGGCCTACTCTCTGCAGTAGCATGTGGTGATATATTTGCCTCACCGAGCACCAAGCAAATCTTAGCCGCCAAGAAGTTGGCACCATCTACCAAGGGGACCATTTTTCTCATCACAAACTACACTGGAGATCGTCTTCACTTTGGCCTTGCTGCCGAGAAAGCAAAAGCTGCAGGGTCCGGGGAAGATTATCTAGTGCTTCCAGCGACGGACGATGTTTCTATTGGGAGGAGCAGATCGGAACGAGTAGGAAGAAGAGGCATGCCTGGCCATGTCTTTAGTGAGTGGACCAAGTCACGGACTATGCGTCCTGCTAATGCTCAATAGCGATGAAAATTCTCTGTGCTGCCGCCGCTGAGGACTGGTCTTTTGAACAGTGTGTAAACCTAGGTCGAGCAGTCAACGACAACACCGTCTCAATCGGATCATCGCTTGATCACTGCCACGTGCCAGGTCGTCAATACCAGAAGATCGCCGATGACATTTGCGTTATCGGAGCCGGCATCCACAATGAACCCGGCCAACAACTGGTTTCTCCTTTCCCGACTGTTGAAAGCGTCATAGAGTCCTGTTTGAAGCTACTATGTGACCACAGTGATCCAGAACGAGGGTTCTGCAAGTTCGCTCAAGACGATGAGGTTTTACTCCTTGTGAACAACTACGGTGGTCTTTCGAATCTGGAGCTCGGTGCATTGGTTGACGAAGTTCAACAGCAGCTTGCTTCGACATGGTCTATTAAGCCAGTCAGATGTTTGTCAGGGTCGTTTGAGACTTCTTTGAATGCACCAGGCTTCTCAATCTCACTCTGTAATCTATCAGCCTCTGCGAGACTTTGCAAGTCAACAACCGCAACATTACTCGAGCTTTTTGACCGGCCTACAACAGCTGTATCCTGGCCGAACCTGGTCAGGCCATCACAAAAGCCTGTTCCTATGAATGAAGGAAAGCAAAATGGTCATACAAATGGAGAAACGTCAGTTGCGACAACCAAGCAGTACGACTCAATGGATCCATCGTTACTTGAGAGATGCATCAGGTCAGCTTGTGAGAAGGCCATCCTAGCTGAGCCAAAACTCACCGAGTGGGATATGATGATGGGCGATGGAGACTGCGGCGAAGCGGTCAAAGGGCTCTGTGAGTCCGTGATCAGAAAGCTTGATGAGGGAGTTGCTGCCCCAGGCTCAGTTGTGTCGTTCCTCGAAGCAATCACCGACACCGTTGACGATATGGGCGGCACACTCGGCGCCATCTTTGGAATTCTCCTCACAGCTCTCAGCAACGCCCTCAAGCGCCAACTCGCAGACCAGGGAGTAGTTAAGGATGTAACTGCAGAGATATATGCTGAAGCCCTTCATATTGCTGTAGAGTCTCTCAAGACCTGCACGACAGCAAGAGAGGGAGACCGCACCGTGATGGATGTTCTTCTGCCATTTTCAGATGAGTTTGTGAGGAACAAGAGTTTTGAGGCTGCGGTTGTGAAGGCGAAGGAAAAGGCAGAGGCTACACGATATCTGAGACCGAAACTTGGAAGGGCTTTGTATGTTGGTGAGGCTAGTGAGCAGCAGGTGCCAGACCCAGGGGCTTGGGCGCTCTATGAGATACTACGCGGCATGGTGGAAAGCTTATAGAAGGTACAAGCATACATAGTTACAGGCCGACAGTCTATTCCAGCAAAAGTCTGAGAACTGAATGAAGAATTGGTTATATCTACCCTAATGTTAGCAAGGACATAAAAAGCCCCATTACTTTAATGTCTTATAAGATATAAAACACTAAGTTTACAGGGTTAACTTAGACGTTAAGGAGTGAAAGTATAATACTTACATGTAAGTTAATACTTACTTATTAGATATATTAATTAAAAGAAAAGAAAATAAGCTATAACTCATTATTGACTTATGCTTCTATATACAGCATTTATCCTACATCCTTAGCAACGGATAAGATACATGCTAGGCGATCCACCAATAACGACTTGACATTTCTCTCGCATAGCCTGGGCAATAGCACACGGTAAACAGCAATCGCCTTGATAAAGCTGAAATACGGACTGAGAACAGCAGAGAAATTGGGATTCTTTATTCCGATGCGTCAACGTTACTCCGATCGAAGATTTTCCTGATGCCACTGGTTCCATTACAGAAGTAGCTTTGACAATCAAGTTGTCCTTCGTTGGATTGAATGGTGTCGAAAGGTCGTGATCACAACTGTCGGCCGGATTGAGACTCATCAGTCCCAAGTGCATGTCAAGAAAATTGACCTCCATCGTACTGTTGCCTTGCTTGATCTGACATCGGAGTAAAAGCGCCTGAGATCTTTGCATCAAAGCTGGGCGCAATGTCATAATAAGGCTGCTGTGTTCGCCAAGTCCTGATGGAACGGTTATCACGCCCTTGGCGATAGACCCTTTTGCTTTCGGTCTAATCAGCGCCTTCGCTGCTTTGTTGCCTGGCATCACTGGAATTATAAAGTCGTAACTGTCGGCCTGATAATGCAGCCTTCCATCGACTAAGTCATACTGCACTACCCATGGGCTAGAGATCTCAGGGACCTCAAGAGTAGCAGGGTAAATAGTAGAAGCCCCTGAGCTGTTGCAAATTGCTTTTTGCATATCTTCGCTGTAAGATACCCTGGAATCTCCGACAAGTCGGATAATGTGTCTGTGCAACCAACTCGGCCCAATATCCTTAAAATCATGGTATGAAGCCTCATTAAATCGTGACCAGAAAAGATCAATAAGATATGGGTATGTATCATCTCCAAAGTGGGATCTCAATGAAGTATAGAGACTGTGTTGTAAGAAGAGAAATAGTAGCGATGCCTGCGTTATTTGGGCTACATCCCTCCAAAGCATAGAAACTGGACAATGTATCCATGACATAAAAGCGTTCGCATTGGCTTTCGGATGACGAGTCACGTCCCATATCTCTCCAATATTGCAGGAGGAGCATGTGCAGTTTTTGAGAGGTAGAACGACTCGAAGGGCAATCTGAAGTCGGTTGAATGCCTCTTTGGGGCTCTGCAAAGTATCAGAAGGGCAACATAGCACTTTCTCTAAGCGCTGGGAAATAGTTTGTCGATATGTGGGCCCTAAAATGACCCTCAATCCTTGGGTCGGGAAACGTCTTTCTCGCCCGTAAACGGAGAAGCAATCCGTAGTAGGCTCCATTGCTATAGATGCTACAAAGTTCGATATAGCGAGTTTCAGAGGCTGAGATGAATCTGCGCCGACCATAGAAAGGGAAAGATCTAACTGGCTCGACAAGATGCCATCGCATACAAAGCGTAGTTCTTCGTTGTGTTTGTGTTGGCTGTCTGCGATGATATGCCGTTTTAAGAACCCGGCCTTCTTGTTTTCCAGCTTAGTTTCAAGATGAATCTGTGTTGAAGAGCCATCTTCGGTAGTGACCGAGAAGATAATGTTGTCCCTGAGTCCGCTCATAAGGACTTCTCTATTGATTCGCACTGAAACATCTTCAGGGCACATTGCTAGCGTCAAGGCCAATAGTGTCCCTACACATCTTGTTCCAGACACTTGTAGAATCAAACTCTCATCTTGAAGGGCACTGCAGACCCCGGATAAAAAACTCTTAAGATCCTCTTCTGCTGGGGTGTCGGCCAAGTCTCGTGGCACGTCTAAGCCAGCTTCGAAAAAGCATTGCCTCAGCCGAGTGACTTGGAGGGCCAAATGGTTTCCAAAACCTAGGCATGCGGATTTTCGTTCTAATAGCATGCAAACATCACCCAATTGAGTTGGTGAGGACAACTGCCGATCTGCAGGTAAGATATCTTGACAAAGATCGTAGAGCAGTAGTCCGCAACGGCTTTTCGAGTAAAGGCTCCCGAGGGCGCAACATAGTAGAGCTGCAGTTTGCCCACCGGTAGTCTGACTCATGAAAGCTGGGGTGTCGTCTTTTGCCCATCCAACCCAAGCAGAAAGCCTCTCAAGTCTAACACAAGATGCCCTCGACAGAACGTCTGGAATCTTTGCGGCCCAAGGACCGTTGGATTGAAAGCAGGACCCGATTTGCTGGACTTGTATGACGGCATTGGGGTTAGCATTGTCAGCTGAAACGGCGCGAAGGAGTCCTTGGGCAAAGCCGATGGTGTTTAATGCGGCTCCCGGAATCCCTAAAATGTCAGCCTGAGCCGCCACTCCTCCATTGTCACCTGACATGGTAGTGATTTGAGTTATCTTGTCCCTTTCTGTGCTTCGTAGAGGATGCAAACAACACTCCAAACTAGTGAGGTCTTAATGCAATTAAAAAGATAAAGAACAAGAGTGAGTAGCAGATGAATAGATGAAAAGGTAGCTTGGGTATGAATTTGTTTTTGCAAACGAAGTGCTTCAAACTGTCTTAGCGGTCTCTATACGCCTTGTCTCCCTTGCATGATTCTTGGCTTGCTAAGCGCCCGTGCATGTCGTTTCTTACCACTAATTGGCAGACTGCTGCACTCACAGCCGCACACCGGTGAGAATCTCACCAATTACAGTGCACAGGAGGACAGAGGGTTGAAAATATTGCAACGGTGGCTGGCTGGTCATTCAATCTTGGTGGCTGTGCATACCTACAAATTATCAACATCTCCATCCGACATCCAATGCGACCCCCCTGCACATCTATAACCACCACTCTGTTTAATCCAGTCAAATCCAGCAGGACAAACTCCCATCGTCATCAACTTTGCCTTTCTCGCCTCAACCTTCTTCCGTTTCTCCTCCTCAGCCAGAATCCGACGAACGAGCTTCTCTCTGTCAGCGCCACTTGCATTCTGCTGGGCCTTTTTGAGACGACGAGATTCCTCTTCATCTTTGGCCTCTTGCTCTTTGTCCTTTTGGAGCTGTTCCCAAACTTCATCGCTTACCCCAGCGTCTCGTATACCTTGGGGAACTGTGATGGCTGGGAGCTCTTCTTCTGGCTCCTCCTCCTCTTTTTTCTCGGTAACTGTAATGACGTTGGTTGTCATTGCAGGTGGTGTGAAATTGGGTGTATCATTGAGCGCTTTAGCGATCTCACTAGCCGCAGTAGGCTTTTTGTCGGTCATTCGACCTCGACGCTCCGCCATCATGTCGTCTATAGTGCTGCGTATGAGCTCCTCAGTAAGTTTCAGACTTTTAGATGACAGGTCAAACTTGTGAAATACCTTCTTGGCAAGTTCTTTGACATCTCTCGCATTTGCCCAGCTGTCCTGCTCCGCCAGTTCCTTGAACTTGTTAGTCAGCTCGGTCAAGAATTCCTTCTTAGGATGCTCCAAGCAAGACAGATCCACGAGTATCTTTCCGTTGAGCTTGGATTTGCTGGCTTGCAATTGACTGGTCATCAGCTGAATACAGCTAGCAGGAGTGAGAGGGTCAAAGTCAATGCTTTCCGGGAACCGACTAGACATTCCGGGGTTGATGCCCAGCAGAGTATTGATGTCCTGCACGTAGCCAGCAAGAATAATGATAAGCTTGCCATGATACTTTGGCTTCGTGACACTGTCCACAAGCTCATCAACTGCCTCTCTGGCAAACGAACTCTCAGAAGCCAGTCGATACGCTTCATCGATGAAAAGCACCCGTCCCAAAGCTCTGTCAAGAAGCTGCTGCACTTTAGGTCCAGTATGTCCAACGTACTGGCCTATGAGCTCAGTAGCAGAAACCTCAATGACCTCTGTGCTAGCCAAGAAGCCCAGATCATAGTACACCTGTCCCATCTTGCGCGCAGCTGTAGTCTTTCCTGTTCCTGGTGGGCCGCGGAACAGGAAGTTGAAGGGGATTTCCGGGTCAATTTCCAGTTGCTTGGCCTGACGCACGCGGGTCTGGTACCCTCGAAGGATCGATATAAGATGCTCACGCCCAACATCGCCCTCAAACAGTTTCTTGACGTCGGTATCACCCTTTTCAGCGCGGTCAAAGTCCTGATCAAAGTTAATGGGCTCCAAGGTCCCATGCTTCTTAACGTGTCCGGATGAAACACGCTTTTGGTGGCTGGCCATAGCTCTTCCCAGTAGAATGTCGATCTCACCAGCGTTTCCAAAATTCGGGCGGTTTCTGGCACGACGCAGGACATCCAGTGCGACAACCTTGGCCTTGACTGTTGCCTTGAAGCCCGACTTGCCCAGCTTGAGGTCCAGAATCTTTGCCAGAGCAACATCATCAAAGTCTTCAAAGACAAAGGCAGACGAGATTGGAAAGCGTCGACTGAGACCAGGATTGACGTTCTGGAACATCTCCTCCATCTGCTCCTTGTAGCCAAGTAGTAGGACACATCGGTCTTCTCCTGGAACGCTTTGAACCTCGGCGACGATGGTGTCGATAACAGCCGCCTTGTAGGGATCAACGACAGAGCCATTTACGCCTCCTCCTCCATAGAGTCCGTATGCTTCATCAATTAGAAGAACTTTCCCAACGGTGGCGGCGAGGATACCTTTGGTCTGGGCCTCTGACTGTCCAAGAGCAGCCCCGACAAAATCAGCCGGGTTCTTAGTGACGACCTCTCCATTCGAAAGAAGTCCCAGATCTTTGAGGATCTCTCCGTAGAGCTTTGCCACAGTAGTCTTTCCAGTGCCGGGCGATCCCAAGAATACCTTGTTGAGCGAGAACTCTACTAGAGGTTGCTCTGCAAGCTCGCGCTCGAAGTTTGTTTTCAAGGTGTCCATGAGCACACCAAGTGCATCTTTGACTTCCTGCAATCCGATCAGGGCTTTGAGCTCTCGATAGGCATTGCTGTTCAGCAAAGCCTCGGAAGGTTCTGGCCCAATGATGTCTTCTTGAGTGAGGAGCAAATCATTTGGCTTCTTGCCGGCTCGGCGTTCCCTTCTCAGACGTGCTGATTGTCGTTGGCTGATCTTCTGAAGGCAGTTTTCTATGGCGCGCGCATTACCGAACCCATTCTTTCCACGACCATGACCAACCCGGCGTACGGCAATCCGGCAGAACAGTCCATCGCTTCCTTTCTCAACAGCCATTCTACCATCGAACTTGCGATGGATCTGTAGCTGGAGAATCTGGAGAAGTTCTTTATCTGTGTAGTCCTCGAACTTCATCTCAATGGGAAATCGGCCTGGAATACCGGGATTGTGTGAGAAGAAGGACTCCATCTCCTTGCTGTATCCTGCCAAGACAAACACAACCTTTCCTCTCAGGTTCTCAACCTCTGCCAGGAGATAATCCAGTACAGCCTTGCCGCCGGGGCTGTTGCCAGATGATGGCTGGTATGCTTCGTCGATGAATATACAGCCGCCACCGTTGTTGTTGACATCTTCAATGAGCTTCTCACAGCCAGTGACTCCCATGTTGGCGAGTTTAGAGCCAGTGACTTCCTTGAAGCAGCTTCCTGCAATTGCGCCGACTGTCGTGAGGAATTCGGCATATATTCTGGCGACTGTCGTCTTGCCTACAGAGAAGTCAGTTAGAGCCATTCATTGTGCTGCTTGTGTCCCTGATGTACTCACCTGTACCTGGATTGCCGAGTAGCGAGCAACTCCATCTTTCATCTCCGAGTGAGAACCGTTGACGTATCTTGGTGTCGACCGTGGACTTGATCGACAGTATCTGGTCTTTGACAGACTCCAGACCGATCATTTCCATTAGCTTATCCAGGGCAGCGTTGCGTGCACCTTCAACCTCTTTCATGTTCTTCCACTCTTTGGCTGCACTGGAGATAGCATCGAACTGAGGAGCAGCCTGAGGCGGTGGACTGGTTTTCTGGATTGCCTTCATCTTCTTCTTATTGCTTTCGGCTTGTCGAAGAGACTCAAGCTCCTCCTTCTTCTGTTTGAGCTCGTCCGCATGCTTCTTCTCTTCAGACTCGTACTTCATTGTTCGACGGCGATGGTCAATCTCATCTTCAATCTGTTGTAACTGCAGGCGATAATTGTCTTGGAGCTTTTGGCGTTTCCGTTCCAATTCGAGATCACGTCTGATACGCCTCTCATCATCCTCCTGGCGCTGTCGTTCGAGTTCAAGGTTACGTTTGATACGTCGCTGGTTTTCTTCCTCCTCTTTGATGCAAGTCGCGCAGACTTTGGTCTTATTTCCACATGGGGCCTTCGTCGTATGGCCTTTATCGCACTTTCTGTCAACTTTGGCAACGCATGGGATCTTTGAGTGGTCTTGCACTCTATGGCAGCGTCGCTGGCATTTGTGCTTGCCGCAGCTAAACGGGGCATTACTAGAGAGGTTAGAGGTTTGATAACAAATGCGATACTCAAGCAAGAAAAGGGCAGAGTAAGAGTTTAGACTTACCAAGGCTCGGCGCATCCTCCATCAGGACACTTCTTATCAAAGTCTTCCGGCAACTTCAACAACATGGACGTCTCAGGGTGGCGCTCGCAGTGGATAGGCACTCCATCGAATATGGAATTATTCATCTTCAGCGCATCGAAATACTGCGTCCACATTTTACCGCCCTTCTTGCTCTTCATGAATGTCTCCATGTTTCCAAAGAGAATCATGCCGTTCCGAGCACGTGATAGAAGGACAACAAGTCGTTCGCGAGCGTATAAGAAGCCGATATCTCCGGACGCGTTGCTGCGTGTAAGTGAGACGATGACAATGTCACATTCTTCTCCTTGATAGTTGTCTGTGTTGTCAGCATTGACCTGACTGGGCATTACTTGACCTACCAATTGTTGAAAGACGCAGCGGCTTCTTGTTCACTTTGGCTGCCGCCTGTGTGACCAGTCCCGCACGCACCAGGTCATGATTGTCGAGATCATTTAGCCAAGGATCCATCTCCTTCCGAAGAGTCTCCTTCAAAAGGAACAATTGCCCCAGATATGGCGTGAGAACAACCATGTTCTCAGTCTTGTATCCGTTTTGCGATAAGTACCGCACCATTCGGAGAACCATCATAGCCTCGTGGAGGTTCCTCTTGCTGGCTTTGGCCGTGGGGTCCCGGCGCTCAGCAACATCGTCCATGGTATCCTCCGGTCGTTCGTGATGAACAAATGTCACCCGACTCTTCAATCCTCGGATCGGCTGACGGTCGGAAGTTGATGGCATGTCCTTTAGTTCGGGATAAGCTAGCATGCGAGGGTATTGTGAGATATCTGGATGACTGCGGTGCTGCTCTTCAAGGGCTGTGAAATGGCGACCCTGTATAACAAGCCTCTCGAAGAGCGATACGTTCAGATCGTAGCCTTCACCATTTTCCTTTGTCAACAAATAGTTACCGACCTTTGGCCTGAGCT